TTTATCTGAATACCCACGCTTTTTCATTGGGTACACAAACAAGCTTTTGAAAAGCAAGGAAAACTGTTTGGATAACAACATCCTTACTCGACGGATCATCCTACTATAATATATAGTGAACAACAAAAACATGTTGTTTGAAGGTTCCTATGAGAAAACTGCAGACATAGACAAAGCATCTGAGCTCCAATTATACAGCAAAAGCCTGTAAAAGATGGTAGGCTTCTAGAAAGGATTTCGGAAATCTCTTGTTGTTGATGAGTTGGGTGGTTGCAGTTTCACCCACAGCCGACACCCAAGTCGGGAAGAGGTATTGATAGCTTTCAAAATGGTAACACTTTTCGGCTGTGCTGTCAATTCTTCAGTTGGTAAAGTAGGGGTTGTTGAGTTCTTGATCAATAATCAATCAGCAGGAAGAAAATCTCAGGCGTCTTTAGTCCTCAGTGAAGTTGCTGTGCAGCAGATTCAAAATGTGCTCCTTAATGATCACTTATGTGACCGCATAAAGACAAACTGTACGCTCACCCAAGTGGATCCTGGCCCTTGCCATGTGCCAGATAAACGAGTCCGCAGCTGCAATAGCGTGCCACTTTTTGCGCTCAAAGTGCTCAGGAACAGGACTAAAGGGAGTGCAGTGTCCATACTGTGCCCGCGCTGCCGCTTCGCCAGCCACACGCTTAGCCATGGCCAAACGCGCTGCTTGTCTGCACCCTTTCACTTCTGGTTGTTCTGTGCCGCTAAATGAGCGTGTCGCTGCTTGATCTTGGCGCGACGCGAGGATAGCATAGGAGGTGTATGGAGACAGCACCCGGATATCACTGCCTTTCTCTCTGTTCCCGTGCACTTTTGCGTGGAAAAATTGGTATGCTACTATAACTCCGGGCCCATTCATCTCATACACAGCAAGGATTATCCTCCTAGGTAGGTGCTCAGTTTGTCTTGAACGAAATAGCACCGTCAACGCTTCACTTTTACTCTATCATGTGTAGCCTTGACGATTAATAATTTGCTCATTTTCTCGAATAATGTTATCCGAGAGATCCCTTATGGCTGATGGTAATCTCTTAGTTTAGTTAGTGAGCGCTCATGTTGGATTCTACTCCTTTATTGCGTGGTGAGACAAGCGATGAACGTTTCTCTGTGAGTTCAAGTCGCCTCTGAAGCCTCCTGTCCTATGGTGAATTTTTGAAAAATCGGTGTTCGTCCGCTTTTGAAACTGAAATTTGAACACACTATTAGAAGAAACTACTGCATCTTGATGCTGTCCAAAGCCTGGGCTAGTTCACACTTCGAAAGCCTAGAGATATGAGAAATGGAATTCTTAGCTCTTACCGTCCTCCCTTGCTTTTTTTAGGTTGCAATCTGCACAGTCCATCCCTGACCTAACCGCTTCAAATGGAACATCCTGAAGTGTAATCGTACCTACAGAACGATAAACCTTCCCTTTAAACTTGGCCTCTTTCCTCGATACGTATTCGCTTCTGAGACTACCAGCTGTTGCACTTCTTGTTGGGTTCTTTTCGCCCCTCTGTGATGACGTATCTGTGCAAATTGTCGTCTACAGCCTTCAGATTACATGCGATTTCTGGTCCTTTTCACTGTTGACATGGTTGCCCAAGTATTTATGATTGCTTTTCCCGTCCTACCACTTCCCTCGCCTTAGGGAAAGGACTTTGCACTCAAATTTTTGAGGCAATAGGGGTTAGCTTGTAACGCACTCGAAAGGGCAGATACACACCGCAACGGCACGTGTCTGTTCGTTTGCTGTTTGCCACTGAACTCTTCAGCGAATCACCCGCTGTTTCTTAGGGTGTTCGCTCCCGATTTCCCAGCGACCGCCTACGCTGGTCTAGGAGCTCATACTGCAGCGTGGCATGGCAATTCGGAAGAGATAAATTGAACTGGTTTGGAACATCAGCCTCGCGTCCATGTACGTTATAACTTTTCGTGACCTGTTTATTCTGGATAGAGTTAAGAGATGGTTCATCTGAAGAGGAGAATCTCATGTTTGAGCAGGAAAATTCTACGGCCAGCCTTCAAGCAATTCTACCTTCAAGCTCTAAGTGGAATTCCAAAAAAATGTTTTAATCAAGGTCCAAACTGTGGTTACTGTAATGGTGACTAGATAACATTTGGAAACCTGGGAGTTTTCATATGTTATTCTGAACTCCATTTAAAGCGAAGATTGAAGTACGGAGTGGGGCCATATGGCAGGGCCTATACAGCCAGGGCGCGTCGTATGAAGAAAGGAATTGGTTTCCGGGGAAAGAAATTCCAGAGAATTTGAAGAAACTTGAGATTCAAGAAAAAGGTAGGTAGTGTGGGGGAAAGGTACCATAGTAGGAGGTTTCGAGGGAGAGGGGGTTGTATTTTTCGAAAAATTTCTCCTAGCGACGTAACCTGCCCTGTTTCCAATACCTCAGCTGTTTAATATGTTACAATTTTGAGCGTAATGTGATGAGAAAGTCTTTGTGCCGAACCTTTCCATGCATTTAATGACGACATCTTCATGTTCCGTTAGGCGTGCAATCATCTCAGTCACGCAACCATACTTTACGAGAAAGCGCAATCTAAATAGTCTAAAAGTTACTGTACTCCCACGTAAACTACTTAGAAAACTGTCGGAATCGTCGTGTAGCGGCTGCTTGGTTTTATGAGGCTATTGAGCGTGTGCTTGATTCGTGGCCGTAAAATGCAGCTGGGAATCTTGAATTGAAGTCAATTCATTCCCTAAATCAAATTTACCCTCTGGAGGAAGAAACGGATGAAGGATGTGACTTGGCCGTTGATCAGCTTTTTTGTAGGATGCGGTGTGCACCCTACGGCCATTCAAAATCGTAGTGGTCCATTGAATGCAGTGTGGCCTATACAATGACTTGCGGGGGCCGGCCAATGTACGTTAATGTTCTTATCTTCCCAGACGAACCTGGTATCATGATACCTTCCTAGAAGCCTTGCTGTGCGGGAGATGACCCAGGATTCGACCACCAGACCGCGCACCTGGTAAGCGTGTCACCTGCCACTATACCACCTCCGCTTCCCTGGAGGACGACGCTGCTTAAAAATTTGTTGATTAATGCCTCTCAAGGGATAGTTTTCCAAGTCATGGAGCCCTTTTTTCAAAGCGATTTTTTGTATGATTATGAGATCATGCATCGAACAAAAAGTGAGGATCATTTTCACTGAGCTGTTCAAGCAGTGCCGAAAAATTGTAAACGAATGATTGATGATTCGATCCTCACAGTGAAAAAAAAATAATTTCAACAATTTCTGACTTTTTGTTTTTTTTTGGAATAAAATTATTTCAACGATTTCCGACTTTTTTTGAACTTTTTTTTCTCAATGTTTGAACTTTTTGTCCGAACAAAAAAGTTTCTGAAAAGTCTGTAAGTGTATTCAAACCAAGAACCTTTTTGTAGCACTGCCAACAAAATCCCAGCCCACGATCTCAAAACAGGGCACTTCCAGCGTTAGGGTCCTTAACGATTGGGGGGGGGGGTCTCATTTGTTCGCTGGAGTAATTAGTATCGTACTTGCCTCCAAGACGAACGTTTCTGGTTATTGATTTTTCTTAGTTTTTTTCTGTACCCTCTCCCTCTCATACGCTCGCGAATTTTTGGTGGAAAGGTTTAGGGAGTTAGGAAAATCTGGGAAGTGGTAGGTAAGATGTGGGACGAGGGAGAGTGGGGGGGGGGGGGAGGGTTTTACCAGAAAAGAAAATTTTGAGGGGTTATATACTGCAGAAATTTGCCTCAACGCCAGGACGAGCACTGTCCACAGCATCGATCACTTCATGAAGCTGGATGAGGCCGCCACATATGAAAACTCGCCTGCCTTTATCGACACATATCTGAGGAAGTGTTTCATTGATAAAAACATTTCATGCTGTTTTTGAATATACATGACAGGCACTTTTGTACTATTAGTACTCATTGCTACAAGCGGTACACAACGCGATAAGGTGATTTGAATGACCCGTCACTGGAAGTCCTTTTTTCCATCCTTTTTGGCGTTGCTGGAAACGAAAATTAACCTGACTGGTCTGTTCCCTGAATGAGCCTCCACATCACGCTGAAAACCATTTTAGACATGCTCCTCGATCTCGGACTTCTTTGCTAGTGCTAATGCTTGCAAAAGCTTCTGTTGAACAAGTGGAGTTACGAAACCTTAGGCCTCAGTTATTTCTCATGAAATCGTCATAGTTTACTACATACTTGCACGAGACGTTGAACAGGTGCATAGGTACAGAGTTGTTGTTCGAGTTACAGGCACGCTACAGATCACGTGTGGTCCTTACAAACCAGCGCTGTCACAGTCGTTACAAGCGCCGTTTGTTTTGTCTGTGCAGCGTCGTGGTGCGGATTATGGTTTGCGTGGTTGTCAGGTGACCAGATGTGTCATAGATCACTGCTCAGGACTGCCCACCATCTCTAAAATTAATTCGTTAGATGACATCTAAAGAGGTGCTTGAAGGGCTTCAATGACCAAGCAAACGGCGTTTCGATGGAGACGTATCAACGTGTGCGATAGCTGCCGTTGCTTAATTGCGTTTGAGGCGGCATCTAAAGCGTCATGAATGGTTTCGGCGCCGACGTCGATGGTGGTCGTTTACGACCATCTTCACATCGTACTGGGTGGTCTCTCGGTGAATGCTAGTCGGTGCTGGTCTTGAGATCGCCCAGATTTATCCCTTGAAGAGTGATTCATAGCATTTGTTTCGCTAAAGCAGCCACAAATGCTTTATCAGTGCCGCACTCCACAAGTGTAGCCCACAAAGTACGACGGCGAGCAGAGCATTAGCATCAGAGCAAATAATCGTGCTGGGAAAATTTTTAAAATACGCTCTCCCTTACTCTCCTGAAGAAAAATTCCAGTTGGTGATGTGCCATGACTGAAACAGTCTGGTAAGGCTCTCAGATCCTTTCACAATGAAGCTTAAAGCTGCTTCAGTGGATTGAACCCAGGAGGACGAGGTAAACTAGTGCTGATCTGAAACGAAGATGAGAAATAGCCGGCCATCGTCGTTCGTCCCCTTCTTGAATTTCATTTACAGACGCTCACTTTCTTTGCATATTTATTCACGATCAATTCACTTTTTCAGGTTCAAAAGCAAAAATCCAGAAGATCCGAATGAGGTTCCAAATGGTTTCCTCTCCGATGTGAATAAGGTAAGTGTTCGAAAAAAACTTATTGTTCACAGTGTAAAGGGAAAAAGATACGATAGGAAGAAGAACGAGCAAACTTCAAGAAAGATATAAGAATTACTTCAGAAGCAGGAGTTGGTGTGTAGGAGAGCTCTCATCCCTTAACTCTGAAGAGACAAAATCATTGGTTGAATCATAATTAACCCGAAATAGACTTTTTGTTTCAGATTTGTTCCGCACCTGGAATAGTTAGTTAGAAATGAAAGCTGAAGTGCGGAAATCCCAGGATGTAATTCTCGTCAAGCTCCCGGTTGAGCTGCGTCTACATACGATAAGCCTGTTTATAGTCCGTTGATCCCACGACAGCTTAGACATGAGTTATCACGCCCAGATATAGAAGCGAAGGAGCTAAATATCTTGCCCTCAAACAGCGCTTATTTTCATGCTCGATAATATATCACATTCAGTGATACCACCTCTTTGTTGTTTCGGATCGGTCACGGAGTGTATTCCGAGAGGGTGGACCTATGCACTGAGATAGTCCTTGTCACCTTGTCACGTACACCTGGTACGACCTCTTCGGCTAAGGTGCTGTCCAGCTAGAACGTGGAAGGCATTGAATCTCTCAACTCATCAGAGAATGCGCGTTTAAACTACAAAAACGACCAGTATTTCGAAATTCTTGGTTTGGGCATCCCTGTGTCCAATGGAATGTCGATCTGAGGACGGCTGCACTTTCGAGGTCCACCAGTGCGACGCCCAGTTGCCCGATTGTTCTCGCATCTATGCAGCACGGTGCACCATGCACTCCATTGCGCACGATTGGGCAAAACTTCGTCAGTGCAGCACGTAAACGACCGGCAAACCTTTAACGAGACCTCTGAATAGTGAGGCAGTGGGAAAGACATCGAGATGTGTGAGAGTAGGGGAGGGGAGAGAGTGAGCAGTGTATTATTATCAACCAACAACCAATTCTATGGCCATGCTGCAGAAATAACAATAAATCACATCTATCGCGTTTGCAAGGGAACGAGGTTCTCGATGAACATGAGAACTGACTCGTCTTGAAACACTTTTTCACAGTTTTATGTGAGCCGTCGGTAGCTTCAAAGAAAAGGTTCTTGTTTTTGCTCAAGCAAGTTTTCACTGCCCTCTTTTCAGGATTCTCTCACGGTCCTTCACAACGTGCTGATTGATAGATCAATAGCGAATTCAAAGGTGTACGATCGTTTTCAATTTGAACGTGTCGGGTATTTTTGCGTAGACCAGGACACCGTTCCAGGAAAGGTGAGCAATGCCTGTGAGAGTGTGTTTCCCTTGCAACCTGCAATCTTTTCTGCCCTTCCGCGTGACGTCTTGCACATTCTCTTATGGCTTATCATACAGTATTTGCTCTGTAGACGTCAGTTTCGCGTAATAAAGCGCATCTCATGAGACAAGGACCGCGGCATCCGTGATCACCGTCACCACGTGGTCGTGCTATTGATGGAATCGGAATCACTGATAATGCGCTCCGTCATTGACAAGGTCAAGAAATGTTTGATTAGGTTGGACTAAACGAATGATTGGGGCAAATAGATCCCGATGTACGTGCTAGCTGTGCCCGACGACCGGAAGCCCAATAGATTATGTCGGGAAGTGCTGGCGCCGCATTTTGGCGCCACTATTTGCTTCAGTCACCACAGATAACGACTGCTTTCGATTTCAAGAGGTGTACAGCCCGACGTAATGAGTCGGAAGGTTTCGGCCACCGCAGCTGTGGGTTGTGTACATTGGCGGCGGCCCAGGCTGACCGACAGGTTACCTAGAAGAGTTAATGATGACGAGAGATTCTATCTGATGATATCAGTTGGCCAGTATTTGGAGTCCCGGCAACCTTGACCTCCTAGTTCAGATCTAGTATCTTTGAATAACGCACGTTTGGAAGCGCATTGCGTCTCGCTTACCCCTTCACCCCGTAATTATCGGCACGCATCCTCTTTGAGCATTCCATTCGGCGATTACTGCGATTGCTATCTGCTTTCTCGAAGCCGTCGGATTGTCCTCTCCCCGTGAGGGCTGTCCATCTTTCGGTCGCATAGCGTCAGCAGCATTTGCTTCGATCTTGGCAACTCTACTGCGGCTCGCGCTCAGAGTGGACTGACCCGCTAACCTACTATCATTGTGATATATTGGCAGATTACAAACATTTGTCCTTCGAAACTACACTTTAAGATTAATCGATATGCTGCCTTATATGAAGGGATACTCCAAAAGAGCGCACGCGTTCTGGGTTTTTTTAAGAAAATTCTCACAATCAAGTGGAAATCCCTCCATGCATTTGGCATCGGCGTCCGCAGTAGATGTACCTTTTTCGTCACTCGAAACGACGTGATAAAGAAGCTGGATGCCGCGCGAATATTGCAACCATTGCAAACATTACTTTCACTCTGCAAGACAACGGCTTACAAGCGGGATTGCGTGTGTACATAGCGTTGCCTGGAGCGTCGTAGGGTGATTTCCTGTGCTCTTGCCGGGATTTGGTCGAACGTCGAATCCTACCAACTGGGCTTGTCCGACATCTGACAAACTTGACCAAGACACCAACCCCACCGTTAAGGGGTCTCTGTTCAGAAAGTTTCCACGCTTTTTTCGCTTCTTTCTCTACTGGGGAGTTACTAATGGGCGGCTGGTTCATGACTGAGCACCTACTACCGTAACACTTGATCGCAGGAATTGCCTTTATGCGAGGGCTACACTTCACATTATGGTCGGCCTGTTGGTTATATTGATAGAGAAACGCTTTCGTTTTGCATGAGGGTTTGCAAATTCATGCAAAACTCGCCTGCGTCATGCCGTAGGCCGTTAATCATAGCGAAGAACGACACGGCGGGTTCGTGCAAACGCAGGGAACCACTTTGCCCGTTGAGCGGTGTTCCTCGTGATGTGCTATGCGACACGAACAAGTCAGCTGATCCCCCATTCTCTCACATATTCCAAATGATATGCTTGCGCGTGATGGGATGGCTACAGTGTCGACATCTCGTATCGTTTCGGCGGTACATGCTGCACATGCCACCTGTGCATACATAGCTAACGGCAGTTGTTCCGCTTGATCATCACCGACGTTATGAATGACACTGTTCTGTTCCGAGAAACATTCCATCCACCAGCTTACTTAGGATCGCGGGCGTCATAATGGATAGCCGCGTACGAAAGCAAGCAAACTAAGGATACTTACAGAGCATTATGGCTTTAGAATCTGGTGGTCATATTCCCAAAAGTTTGCCGAACAGGTGAGGTGACTCAGAACTCAACGAGGACAGGCGCCCACACATCAGACTACGAAAATGTGTGTTTGCAAACTGCGTCATGCATCACTAGTGGCGTCATCATTGCTCTGAATCATTCGTTTCCTACAGCTGGTTAGAATGAACAGCGGAAGAAGCAGCCGATGAATCGCGGAATGTATATAGCTTTCAAGACACTATATGTGCAGACACAGTCCAAGATGCTGACGTTAAAGGCATGCTCTTAGTTTGGTACTCGGTCTAAAATGCTGGCAGGGGTGCTATGAAGTGGGGAAAATGGAGGAGAAGGAGAGCTGAAGCGGTCAGAAACCGGCAAAAAGCCTTCATTCTACAACTACTCAGAAAACACGGACGATTTTTCCATTGGCATCGTGCCAATAACTGCTTCGGTAGATTCGGCCGTATGAATGTACTCACATATCGGGTAGCACCGCAGCCTTTTCATACTAATCCCTTCGCTTCATATCTGTACTTCGCAAATGAAGCGATACGAGCATCAGCATCGGTCGTCCATTTGTAGGCGGGCATGCGCAGCGGAGTTCGGGTCGGTATGTTGCTGCTTAATAGTGCACTGTAAGGGTACCTTGGAAAAGGCGCCACGCAGCGCCTGCTCAGGGGCGCCGAACTTCGATCAGCTAGGTGTATTAATCCTACACGTCTTGGGGATTTATCGTGCCGCTTGCCTTTAAGGAACTAGAATGCAGCATCGAGGCATGGGATCTCTGCCCATTTTGATCCACCAGGGCGCTGAAGCGGCTCCAATTTCTGATAAGACCAAGTGTGCAGTACCCTGAAAACTGAACTATTTGTGGCCGACAATTGCGCCCCGATTACTGGGTGGAACACTGGTTTATAGTCGTGGCTCAAGAGCGGTGCTGAATAGCTACTAGTGCATTTGTAGGTGCCCCAGCTAAAAGTGAATGTTGGTCTCTGATGAACACTTGGCTGGCTTGTGTTTCTTTTACGTGACTTTAAAGCACATTTGTACACTAAACAGCTGCTTTCTATCTCAACTATGGCAGCGCTATAATAAGTTCTAATCGTTATGATGTGATGGAAGGAACAACTCGACTGGCAAGTGAGTCAAAGGAACGCAAACAGGCCATGCTAGTCATTTCTCTCTGTCTAGCGAAGTGGTTCTGGACGGCCGCATTCCTTTCGTGTTTTTCGACCACCATGATTCAGTGCGCGTACATTCTTCTTGTGTTGCACTAAAGATGCTTGTTTAAGAACACAAGAAAGCGAGAGAAAGAAAGAGTAATAGTTCGATAGACAACCGTGCGCTATGTAGCCCGCGTTCTACGACATTTCTTGTCTTTTGACCGAGATCTCAGCTCGAATTCGGCGTTTTCATTGCAATCGCTTACGTTTTGGGCTCTGGCGTCTTTATTTCTCCTCAAATACCCCTATAAAAGTGCTCCTGAAAAAAGAATCCTCATATCTGCATCCCTCCACATCTCCCTTTTACAAACGTGAGTCTTAACAAACGGAAGTCCATGTGACCAAGCGGTGCTGCGGCGCACTATCTATGCAACGTCAGCATTTCTGTCATAATGCACAACAGCTTAATACTCTTGAAAAGCTACAAGCACGGCAAAAGATGCTGTTGTGGCCGTTTATACTGAACGTTCGATGTGCTAGAAGAGAACGTCAGAGGAGAAAAATATCAAGAAATTGGCAGTCATACAATGAGACCTCAAAGGGTGGACCTATATGTGGCCGTGGTTGAAATGTAACCGGTCGTTTGATTGTTTCTGTTTCTTATGAGGAGTGTACAAAATCACCAGCCACATTGGGTTTCTATCGCTTGCCAGGATCATCAGAGTCAGTGCTCATCCTCCGTTGGGAAATTACCCGGCTGTGAGCGCCGTATTTGCCTTTTTGCCCCCCCCCCTCCCTCACCGCTCGTCTGCGAAGTTTTGAGGATAACCGGAGAATTTTTTAAAGAAATTTGGTAAAGATGCTAGGAAATCCGGAAATGGGAGGATAGTAGGTAGGCGATGAAGTAGGGGGGGGGGTCGTAGCAGAGTTACCAGAGGAGGAAGTGTTGAGAGGGAGGGTGGTATTTTCCGAAAATTCTCTTCAGCGGCAGGACGTGCCCTGATTAGTGTGATTCAAAGCCCTAGTTTCAACGTGAATGAGGATTCTGTGAAGGACCTACCAACTGTTCTGTGATTGCCTCCTTTAGATGCTGCCGTAAACAGGGTACAGCATCATGATGTGTAAAATGTGGTGTCAGTACGACCCCCTCCTCACCTCAAATGAGGGTCTCGGTAACGACCCCCTCCCCCACCTAAAAGAGGGTCTCGGTACGACCGATGCAACCGACTCCTTCACCAACACTTACCTACCACTGTCCTACAAGCTCCCAGCTTCCCAACCGTTTTTCCCACATTTTCCAGTTTTTTACCCTAAAAAGTTCCGTCGAATCGAACAGGGAGGGTCGGGGTGTAGAGCCAATGTGAAACGGGAAAAACAGCGTATGCCGGGAAAGTTTTTTCTTAACACGACAAATTTTTCTGAAAAGCGCATCGGCCAAGTACGATCCGCCTCATGTGTTTCACACAACAATGTTGCACCCGGCAGTAAAACCTCTATTGAGTTTTCTTGCGAAATCAACTTTTCTGAGTTATATAGTCAGAAATTCGTTTGGCTCAATGGTCCAGTAGCATCCGTTGAAAGGCAGCCATTTGGAAATCCAGTTGAGTAAAACAGTCCTAAAGGATCAGCTAAACTTTATTCGACATGCTTACCGTCCCCACAGAGATATATCGCTTGATTGATGGTGACCTGACCTATCGGGAAACATGCACGATTCCCTTTCTTCTGCACCAGTTTGTAACTACAAAGTACTTTTCATCGTTTCTTGAAGCTCTCAGTTCATGAAATATGTTTGTTTTTTTACCCTACTCCTTTCAGCTCGTCTTCAATCGCACGGTTCTTCTGAAAGAGGATGCTGGAAAGAACTAACTAGTCGTTTATCTCCAGTTCTGTTGCTTGTAGGTATGCATTATCCGTGGGTAGCATGGACTCTGATTCTATAAATAATTTCCAAGTATTTCTCTTATTATTCGCGGCGTGTAGCAGCGCTAGATGCGTGCATGGATTCGCCCCCGAAAATCACGTGCTTCTCCTCGGCGCTGA